TGGATTTTGTAACTACTATTTTTCTTCGTTCCTCATACTTGAATCTGCCATGGAGTTGATACTCCTGGATGTCTGTTGATCTCCACGGATTTGACGTATTCCCCATGGTGATGGAAATTTAATAACTTGATGTAAGGTTGACGGAACGGCGTCCATCTCGTGGATCCACGGTCTTCTGAGAATCATATTGTAAGCCATCTCCATCTCTACCACCTGAAACTTTGTATCCTTGATGACCCCTTCTGCGAATGTAGTAAGTATTACCTCACCTTTCGTCACAACGCTGGAATTGTCAAACCCAGACAAAGTATGCGCCTTGGGGTACTATTTTAGCTTCGGCTTGCATCTCGTGTAGAACTCTTAGCAAAATAATGTTCACAGAGCCTGGATCAATCAAAACTCGTTTCACATTAGTGTCATGTACAAGTAAAGATATTACCAGTGCATCGTTATATGGAGTCAATACGCCATCCGCATCTGCATCATCAAACGTAATGCTTTCTTCCTCTAAGACATGTCGCACCCGCTTCCCGTGTGTGATCGTGACTTTGGATACTTTATTTGCTGCTGTATACGTCACGCCATTGATTTCTTCGCCCCCGCTTATAACATTAAACGTCCTTTTTGGAGAGGGCGGTTTAGGGGGCTCCTACCTGTTCTTCATGTATGCTTGCTTACCTTTCTCGTTGAATAACTCAGTGAGATACCCCTGCTTCAACAGATGATCATCAACTTCACCCTGTAGCAACCTACAATCTGCTGTTTTGTGACCATGATCGTTGTGAAATTCGCACCAGTGTTCGGGATTGCGCCTGTTTGGATTTGACCTTATTTCTTTTGGCCAACGCACCTTATCACCCATGCTTCTTAAAACAGCTACGAGCTCGGAAGTGCTTACATTAAAATTATAACCGCCAAATCGTGCCTTCAAGTTTCTATCATCATCTCGTGACTCTCGTGTGTTGCGATCATTTCCATACCTCGATGATGAGCCCGATTCTATATTTCTGGATCTACGATCGTACCTTGACTGATCTTGCTTTAACCGTGAATCTTTTCCAGCTGGGCCCATATATGGTTCGTACCTGTTTTTACCAGACCTTTTTTCTGTTTTCGCCCGTCTTGAACTCACTTTTTCTTCTTTTTGGGACCGCGAGATAATGTCTTCTTCGATCCTTAACTTCGTGCTACACCTGTTGTAAATGTCATTCCATGTCGTTGCTGGGAATTCACGAAGACTTTCCTTGAGTCGCCTCATAGCTTCTGAGCTTTTTTCATTCAAATTACTAGTGAAAGCTATAGCTGCCCAATTATCTGGTACACGTGGTAACATCATTCTTTCACGCTGGAACCTATCCACGAACTCTCTGAGCAACTCGAAGTCCCCTTGTTTTATTTTGAAAATATCCTCCATTCTCTTTTCGACTTTTTGAGCTCCCGAATGTGCTTTGATAAATGAATCTGCAAGCTCAGCAAAAGAATTTATGGAATTTTCGGGTAAAAGAGAATACCATGTTAAAGCTCCCTTAGTGAGTGTTTCGCCGAATTTTTTGACCAATACTGATTCAATTTCTTGTTTAGTCAAATCGTTGCCTTTTACGCCAGTTGTGAATGCAGTCACGTGGTCTCGTGGATCAGTTGTTCCATCGTATTTTGGAATATCAGGCATTTTGAACTTCTTTGGAATTGGTAGAGGAGCAACGCTTGGCTTCCAGGGTTGCTGTGAATATTTGTCCATATCGATTCCTTTGATTACAGGCGGTACTCCAGGTATTTGCTCTATGCGGTCACTTTGTTCCTTGAGCTGTTTCTGCAATGTTAGAACTAAATTTTGTAAATCGGAATTGACTAAGTTACCTGGTTCTCCCTCTCGTGACTCACTATGAATTCCACCACTGCCTGAATTAACAAGCCCAGAATGAGGGTTTTCCAAAGTGTTGGTATTTGGAATTGGTGTTGATGGTGCAACAGGTAACTGGCTGGCAAAAGCCTCAAGAGCTTTATTGACCTGTTGAGCGATCAGCTTCTGCAAAGCTTCATTGATAGCTTCATCATTGTCAAATTGAGCATTTGCGTTTGAGTGAGATCCATCAGGAGTTCCTTCTCGAGACCGACGAGGCGAACTTTGTGGAGAAGGGATCAGAGTGTAAACATCTTGTGGGTCCCCTTGAAGTTGATGGTTTCCTTGGTTTCCTTGGGTGTTATCGTTAACATTTGACATGATTGTTGATGTAACGAAATAGATAAGGTTAAGAAAGAATAAATTATCAGATTCCCGATAACGGAACCAATTTGTTTAACTAAAAAATGGTATTTCAGTCAAAGCTTTATTTTTAGAAGAACTCGGGTTACTGATAATCGAAAATGAACAAAAGAAATTGATAACAATAAGATAGATAGCAGGAAGAAAAGTAAATCAATATATTCAGTTGATATCTTGTGTCCCTACAAATGATCAGTCTTCTCCCTTTTATAGCTATTTTTAAGTTATTCGTTTTACCTTTGTCATAATAAGGTCATTATGGAGGATTAAAGGCATTAAATGCTACGTTACATAATCATTGTAATTTAATACATATTCTCCAACGCTTGCAGTATTTGATGCTTATTAAATACTGTATTTGGGCTCCCTTGTGCTGTCAGGTTCATTCTTCTTAGCTTTTAGACTTAAATAGGTACGAGCGTCGAGTCTTTTGAACATTTGCCCGTGCCTCTTCTTGTGCTTCCGCTCGTATCTATTGCAACTCGTGCCTCTTTGCTAATCATTATTCTTTGACCTGCCTACATGTCATGACACGTCATCTTTCAATCACTTCGATATGCATAAACTCAGTTTTACCCAATACAATTACCTCAACCCCCCCCCCCCCCCCCAAAAAGTTTATTGGGCTTTTTTGAACATAACACTGTGATCTTTTTCCTTTTGATCAGTTGAAGTCTTAGGATCTTTAAGATGTTAGAACCTTAAATTATTAAAATTTTGTACTGCAATGCTCTCATTTCTAAAATTTCACGTTGCTCGAACTCCTAAAAAATATTGTTGTTTTTATGCCGAATCCTCCAAAATATAGTATTACTTTTTCAGTTTGAAGAGTCTGAACAACATAGCTTAAAATATATTTTAATATAGATTTAGTCATGGACTAAGCTTGTTGAGTGAATTTAATGTTGTTATGAATGAAGTGAAAAAGTGGAGATAAACCAATGAAAAGCAAAGCAAAAGAGAAAAACAACGAATGATTCTCCTCTCTACAATATATATGCTTCTGGTGCTTCTGCTGGTGGTTTCTGCTAAAGATTTTAAAAAGGTTTTCTCATTTTTTTAGGACAGATTGTAGAGTTGATTTATGTTGTTTCAGTAAGCAGAGTGAAGTTATGTTTCTTTTTTGGGAAAAGGTCAATTTGGCCTTCTACTATTTGAAAATATTTAACTTTGGCTCTGTTATACTATTATGATAAAAAGCCTCCGCCTAGGGGTATTAAATAGACGGGTTGGACTGATTTTAAGCAGCTTAAAATGGGCTGAGTCAATTAATGATAATGACTCGCCCAAAAATTACTTGGGCTGGGTTAAGATGAGCTAAAATTTGGGTCATAGCCTAATCCGCCCAACTCTTACTAAACTTTAATTAATGTATATTATTTTCTTATAAGTTATTTAATTACCAAATAAGATTTTTTTTCCTTTTGTTATGATCATATATAATATATCGAATAAAAAATTTATACTTAACACTAGAAGACGCAAGCCTGTGGCTCAGCACGGGTCCAACTGCACATTACAATATGAAGCAACTTATTGTTATTTTTCTTAGAGAAAACAAATGTTCACTTAATGATAGCAACCTTTCCCATTATTTCCATACAATATCACGAAATTCACTTTTCTGATGCAATCAAATAAATTCCCACAATATCGTTGTTGATTAAATAGTAGAAACACCGGATAAAAATAAGGCAGAATATTTCTCATAACAAACTCAAAATTTAAATTACAAATTTGCGATCAATTAAAAGGTACATAGTACATCTACTATGAAAACACATAGAAGGCATACATTTGGACACTCCCAACAGTATTCATCTACTAAATTGAACAATAGCAAAGGTATTGTTGCAGCACGTGGAAATTCATCACTCCTTTTAGACTCTTTCTCATCAGAGGATAGTCTTGCGGAAAAAAGAAAAGAAAGAAGAGATGTTTGAATTCCACGATAGAAAAATCCCATGATGATTCACGAGTATGAAATCCCATTATTCACTATAACACGCCTCCGCCTTGACCGCCCTAAACAATGCTATATATTTTCTAGCAAAATCTTATGCGACTTTAGATACATGCTAGAGATCATTGAGCAAACTATATCTATTTCAGATTGATTACTTTTTGTTTTGTTTGAAGTGGTACAAAGATAGATTCCTTTTTATATAATTTAAAAGAAAGAAATAAAAGTTTTTTCCTGTGCCGAATATCTTCTGGTAGAAGGAAATTTATGAAAAAATAACTTATTTCTATCTGAAGCTTCAGCTGTAGAAGGGAATTCATATAGCAATTAGATGGCAAAACCTTAAACTGAATATATTCTCATTCTTACAAATTAATCTGTCATGATAAAGTTGAATCATGATCTTCCTTCAGTATCATACCAACACTATGTTGATACCACAAAAACTCCACAACAAAATAAAAGGCAACTCTTGCATTTGCTCAGTTTGAACGATATAAACCTTAAGTTTTTGAACTGCTAATTTGACCAATATAATTAAAGTAACCCGAAGGCATATCAAAATTCCTACAGGTAGTACAATGTTACGATCCAAAATCCACCAGTCGTGATAGCACCTAACCTAACCCGCTACGTAAGCCAATTAACAATTATCCATTTCCATTTAACTTAATGAAACAATTAAACAATAAAATTATCTAAATCTTATGCATTTCTCAAGGACTGGTAGTACAAATTATGAGCTTCTAAGAATAGAGTTTACAAAAGCTGTTATGAAGAAAATACATCTTCTGTTTGAAAAGTACATAAACAAAATTTTATAATCTAGGCTACCGTGAACAAGAGGCAGCATACAGTAGGAACGTAGGTACGCCTTCTAATCCAGCAACCATCGAACACAGCAACATCGGCATCCGGATCTGCAGGCAATGTGCAGGAAGTACAGTATGAGTACAACTGACCACATGTACTCAAAAAGTAACAAACCTAACCTTAGGTTAAAAGTAGTGACGAGCTGGAACATAGGTCGGGTCCAACACCAATAACTAATAGCAGTTCATAACAGTGTAAAGCAAGTACATAAAGAAGTAGCTCAGAGATAGAATGCTCAGACTTTTTATAGTTTTTTTCCAAAAATAGTTCCGGCTTTCAAGAATATCAGTGAAAAATCCAAATTCTTTACCGAAAACGTCATGAAATATGAGATAGTTTGTAAACTGTATTTCTTTTTTCAGAAAGTCTTTTTCTTTCACAATAAATAAGATGTTCCATTTTCTTTCCAGATAGCAGGTGTGAGATACCTCTCTATGACCATATATCAATGTGTGTAAAAATATCATGAATGATGTGACACCATACTGCATGAGGGAAATGCGTCTCTATGCATGTATGCCATATATGCATGCTAACGCCATGTATCTCAGAGATGAATCATGTACTCACACTCTCAGAGTACTCAACCTCACGGCATCCCACTCAACCACTCGGTACTGTATATGGCCCAGGAAAATCCATCCCGGAACATATATACAACACTGACTATAAGTTTCACAGTACCGAGGATAAAGGGTAATCCAACCCAGTGGAGAAATCCATCTCCAGGTATCAAGTACTTCGGACAAATCCATGCCCAGGGAAATCCATCTCTCAATAATATCATCCGCGCTCACTGGGGGTGAGTCACAACCCAAGCGCTATCATAATCATCAATATAACCGCTGCGGCATGCAACCCGATCCCATAACTGTAACTTATAATCAGGCTCTCGGCCTCACTCAGTCATCACTCTCCAGTCTCACCCACGGGCTCAGAATGTCATGAAAACTGACCCGGAATAATGATATGATGTATCAATAAGTAACAATTGAGACTGATATATGATATGAATGCATGAATGCGACTAAGTACTAAATATCAATGAAATCAATAAGATGACAGCAAGAAATGACCACTACGGGTCCCAACAATATCAGCATAAACCTAAACATGATATCTAGCATGATGTACAACTTATTTACTTTATCACATGGTGAAAACACAGATATCAACAAAAATAGGGCCACTATTTAGTGCCCTGGAAACAACAGAGTCACAACTCACAGGGTGCACGCCCACACGCCCGTCACCTAGCATGTGCGTCACCTCAACACCAATCACATAACACATAATTCGGGGTTTCATACCCTCAGCACTAAGTTTAGAAGAGTTACTTATCTTAAACAAGCCAATTCTGACACTGAGCAAGCCAAGAGATGCTCCAAGAATGCCATCACGCGCGTTCCGACCTCCAAGCGGCTCAAAACTAATCAAAAATAACTCAAATACATCAAACAATGCTAAAGGAACCAATCCTAATCGAAAAAGGTCGAATATTTAATCAAAAGCGCAAAATCGACCAAAAAGCCTAACTCGGGCCCGCACCTCGAAACCCGACAAAACTCAAAAAATCCGTCAACCCATTCAATTACGAGTTCAACCATACTAGTTTTTGCCCATTGCGGAAAATTCCCCACTGCTACCTCCTGTAGGAGTCTGGTCCGTGTCTCAATACACTCAAACTCGACTCCGAATCGGTGTTCAAAACTCAAAAATTCATATTATAAAACTTTAGGCCAAAACCCCCAATTTCTTCTTGAAAATTCATCAACCAAAAGCTAAAATCGAAGATAGATTTACGAAATATAATCAAAACCGAGTAGAGAACACTTACCCCAATTCATATGCAGAAAATCGCCTCAAAAATTACCCAATTCCGAGCTCCCCAACTCAAAATATGTTAAATGAACAAAACCCTCATTTTAACACTGTTCTACCTTATTTCTTAAGCCAAAAGATCTCGAAACTCACTTTTGATACCTTCAATGGATTTCTTGTAAAATTCTAGTCAAGTTAGACTCTCGAATCACTCAATTTGACCTTATATTGAAGGGGATATGTTAGTTTCAATATTTGGAAATAGTGCAGATTTTTAAATATGCAGCCAATGGCAATTTCGTAAATAATCTGAAAAATCTAGCAACCCAATTCTTAGTAAAATGACCATAAAATCCTCATACGATGTTCAAATTCGACGATTCTTTTTGCTACAAATCCGTAATTACGATACGGATCTAATGCTTCAACCAAAACAGAAATTAGAGCTCATTTGTTAAATGTGGTACCATTTATGTTTGAAGAAACGACGTCGAAACATAAGAAAAACGAGCGCAACACAACCCAATTCTATCCAAAACTCACCCGAGCCACTCGGGACCCTGGACGAATATACCAACAAGTCCCATAACATAATACGGACTTACTCGAGGCCTCAAATCACGTATAATAACATCAAAACGATGAAACACGCCTCAAATCAAACTTAATGAACTTTCGAACTTTCGACTTCCAAACACTTGTGCCGAAACATATCAAATCAACTCGGAATGAACTCAAGTTTTGCACACAAGTTCTAATACATCATACGGAGCTACTTATGCCTCCAAACTACCGAGCGAAGTGCAAATGCTCAAAACGACCGTTCGGATCGTTACATACAACAAATACACCGACTTTATATGATGTCTCAGGGAGGATAAAACTTATGTAAATGGGGTAAAGCTCTAATTTAGATATGTTTAAGTGCTGAGTAGGTTCTTAAAATTACACAAGGTAAATAAAAAGTATAAGATCAAGTTCAAAAGTGATAAACTAAAAATGGGGCCAAAAAAATGGTCTACCCTTAAAACAAAACTAAAAGTTGTTATGTGAACTTATTTCACTGCCAAGATTATTCAGTCCTTGTCATTGCCATTCTAGAAATAAATTTTTACCTGAGTTTGCTACTAATAGTGCTGCCTTGTATACTTAGAAAGAAGACAAAAAAATACATCAATATGTCCAAGAAAGAAGTGGAGGTTGCCTTGTTTCTCTTATGCGATTATCCAACTTTCAGTTATGGGAGGTTGTCCTCAAGTAGATTAACAATAGTTGGTATCTGTTATTGCATTGTAATTTCAAGCTCTTACTTATCTGAAAAACTTGTTTAATTAAATTAATTACCAACTGAAATGAGGCAGAAGCCTAGGCAAATGTGCACACAGTCACGATAAGACATAGTGTTATAGGATATATTGAGAATAAAATGTGGTACTTTATAACCACTTTGAAGAGGGAAATATGAGTCTCTTACACATTAAAAGGATGATCAAATGCCACTCGAATCATTAATAATAGAATATTCAAAGAGAGGATGTTCTAGATGCCTCACATTATATTAATTTCATCCCAGAATTCATTCTTTGACCTTATAATGCTTGAGGTGAAAGAACTATTATGGTTCACAAATTTTTCACAAGGAAGTTTTATTTATTGGTTATTTAAATCTAACACCAGATAGAGATAAAGAAAAGTAGAGGATTCCTCATTCAAAGCTTACACGACAAAGAATACATAAATGACATCACTTATATCATGGTATTACTAACGCGAAGAGCATAAATCGCTTAACAGCCACAAAGAACACTTCATTCAGTCCAGTGACACATACAAAATAATAGTTTTTGTCAATTACGTATAAAGTAACAGTTTATGCACTGACAGTGCTAAGTAAAATAGCATAAAATTACCTTTTTAGGTTGACGGTGCTTGTAACTATAATTCAGAGTTCCTGAAAATAATGACAACAAATAACTTTATTTTGTTAATAGTTTATCTGTAATCGTGAAATTTGCAGTAACATGTTCAAATAAGAAGTTACGAAGCTAGGTGTAATAAACGGTCAATGTTAATCAATACAACTTAGCTCAGAAAATATTGAATGCAACAGTATTTCATCTCTATACGACAAAGCGCATATAGTCACCTTTTGTTTCACTTTTACTAATTTATTAAACACTCTAGAAAAGTACACTACCCAGGAATATGATTTTGTCACACTGGTCCATTTGATCGACAAATAATGAGGAGAAAAGTAGACAACGAATTGATGACAACAGTCATTTCACTAAAAAGATATACTCTGTTATATATCTAAAGGCCTAAGCTCAGAGTTTCAAAAGAGGAGCCCCTACAAAATCTGGAAGAACAAAGAAGCAGATATCAAATTCCAAAGTTGAATTTTATAAGTAATCCTTGCACAGTAGCAGAAGCATAAATTTCAAAAATATATAATACACCCGAATAGGAATGAAAAAAGCTAAAAATGAGGAACCGTACAATAATTTCAAGATGCAGAAGAAGAACTATACTGAAAAGTCTGCAAATTAATTTAAGTTAATGTCTCTACACGTTATATGCATAGATCCTGTGTCTAAAATGTGCTAAAATCCAGATTTTTTTAGCTGATGACATATTAAACAAATTACCAACTTGAAAATTCATATTAACTTCCAAGAATAGACCAAAAATCGGGAAGATCGAAGAGAATCAGAAGAAAAAAAGACATCTGCCACTAACTTTACCCGTAAATTGGAAAAACTAAAGAGAAATGAAAAATATTCTGGCAAAAAATTAAGAAAAGCATACCTGAAATAATTGTAACCCACAACTGAGAAGATGAAACGGGTTGAACGGGTAGTCTTTCTGTCTTTGGAAGACCGAAGAGAAAAATAAAAATCATGCGAAAGTAACATAACAGATTAAGGGCAAAAAGAAGAAAAGAAGACCAAAGAACATTGAAAAGAGGCAGAGAAATATCATCAACCATGAATTTGGTAAAATTGAAAAGAATTAGAAGAAGATTTGGGTAAAAAAATTACTAAAAGCATACTTGAGATGACTAAACCAGTTGAAGAGAGGAAGAGAAGATTGTTGGAAAGAGAGGTCCTGCGTCTGATTTTTGGAATGAGAAAGATACTTCTAGAGCCAACCTGGATGCAGATAAAAGTCATTATTTTAATTAGAGTATACAATTACTTTTTTACCCTTAGTCGACCTCTTTGGATCTTCTATATAAAGGAAAATATTTTAGCAAAGTTACTCATTAATTAATTGTGGCTAAAAATGATCAACTCAACTTTCACTGGATTGGGTCAAGATGGACTGAATTTAATAAATGGACGGGTCAATAACCAGCCCAACCTTGAACGGATTAGACGAATTAAATGAGTTTGAGATCAAATTACCACCCTACAACTACATTTTTACTTTAAAGGTTCAAAATACCCCTCTCCACTAATGGCCTCAACATGAGAAAAGCCCTGACGTTTCTCCATGTGGATTTCATGGTTGAACTCTGACTCTTGTTTCCCAGGATCATGGGCTGTAATATTTACAATCCATAATTACCAAGACCTACTCTCTAATCAGTTGAGCTTCAAGACCTTTTCCTTAACTAATAATGTTGTTTACCCTCAAAATCGGGTAACAATTTAATTTGTAAGTAGTTTTAAGGATACATGGATTAGATTGACACTAAGTTATAAATTAAATTGTAATTGAAATAAATAATGGTAAAGTAAATTCAAACCACACGAATTAAACAGTTACAGCCTTGGGGGGTGAGCCACCCTTCAACAGAATGCACTTCGATCAGTATCAAGACACAATTGAATAAGAGCTTAAAGAGAAATATAACAGTATATTGCTTCTGAATGCTTGTTACAATGTGTTTTACAAGTAATCAGACTCCCTTTATATAGTAGGGGAGTCCTATATTAGGTAGAATTCTATAAAAAGGTAAAAATCCCCTAATTAACTGATTGCTGATCTCACGTCGACATATGTCGAGATCTCCGCCGTGATATTCGGTCGGTTACGGATATCACGGCCTTCTGTTGGCCGAGCTTGACTACCTAACAACGTTCTTCGAAATTAATCAAGGCCAGGACCGATCCCGAATCATGTCCCCGGTATCCTCGAGGGCGGGTGTTATGGTCCGGACTCAGAATTGATAAGATCCCTACCTCGGTCTAGGCTCCCGGTTACCATATCTCGAGCTTGGCCTATCATGTCGGAGACCGGATGTACTTGGAGGCCGATTTTACCCGTATATAGATGGTCCTCTCGTTTTTCAGAGAGTAGACGACGAGAAATGACATGAGCTTCCAATTCTCACTTTGATACCCGGCGTCAGAAACGATAAAATGAACAAAACGTCTCGTCAGTCACGTCTTAACGACATTAAATGCTTATCAGTTGCTAGTCGGCTACTCTTGGATGCGAACCGTCGTTTGAAAAACTATAAATACCCCCTTCTTCATTCATTCAAACTTTACATCCAAACATTCTACCCTTGTTCCTTAGAAATCTCTATATTTTCTAGCACTTGTATCCTGGTTTTTTGAGATCTTTGTAAGAACCTTTTGCTTGTCTTCATCCCAAGCCATCAAGTGTACTCCTTCAACTCCCTCTTTTTCCTCTTTTTCACTCCATTTTAAAAGAAATGGCAAAGACTTCGAAAATCGTTTGCCAAAAAGAAACTCCTTCTACGTCGCGGCCGACTGTCGAGGAGACCGTTCTTCCGCGTACTGCTATCGAGGAACCAGTAGCGGAACCTCCCTTAAGCATGTTTATATCTGGTGGATGCTCGGTAAACGCCGATTTCAAGGTTGAAAAACCTCCTGTCGTACCCAGCCAGTGTGAAAAGGTCTCGAGATACGTATGCTCGATCAGTGAAGAAATCCTCCCACGGTAAAAAAGGATTGCAACTGGGTTGACAAGCATGTGGTGGTTCCCGGACCGGATGAAGATACCACCACCCACGTCGAGAGATACTTAAGTGTTTACACTTATCCCTTTACGTTGGGCCCATTGGATCCGGTCATCATTGGCTTTTGCAAAAGATACAAGGTAAGCCTCGGTCAAATTCACCCTTCATACTGAAGGATCGTGATCCTATTTCGGTTCTTCAGGAGCAAGATCGATGGATGCTCGTTCACCGTCGACCACCTCATCCGCCTATACAGTCCCTGAATCTTTTTCGGGCTAGTAAATCCCCGTTCTCGAGTATCGATGAAGATTGGGATCAAGGCTGGCTAGGTCATTTTGTCCGAGTGAGGACCTCGGACCTGATCCCAACTGAGTGCATGTCGGTCCCAGAAAAGTGGAACATAAAACGTCAGTTAAATTTCGTTTTCAAAATTTTATTTTACTCTTTTTTCTTTCCTTCTTATCGGTGCTTGGTGGTGGTGCAACTATCGCTCGGGTACCGAATGCAGTCCCTCAACTCAAGGAATGGGTGGAGGGCATCGGGTTGCAAATGGCATATTCTGAGCGGGCATGGCGTGTACTTTCAAAGGGCCGGTGGGAGGCTCGTTCTCATGGTAAGATTGTTTTCCCGAGTGAGTAATACTCGGGTTTCTTTTGTGTTGCTGAGTTCTTACTTGTTCGGTTTCCCTTTACAGGTTTATCCAAGAACGTCACACTGAGGCTTCCATCCGGCGACGAGTATTGCCCCGCCGAGTCCCCTGCTCCGAGACAGGGTGATGAGAAGAAAAGTAAAAGGGCTCTAAATTCTGCAAACTCGGACGAGAAAAAACCAAGGAGAAGGTTGGTGCGCAAATCCAAAGAAAGCACCAGCGCCCGAGCGCCTTCATCAGACTCACTCCACCGGTTGAGGGAAGAGTTAGAAGAAGAAGAAGAAGAAGAAGCCTATAAACTGGTGGCCCGTGTGCAGTCGCGGTTCAAGGGACAAGGGGCCTCCGAGCCAGGGAGGCCAACGAGGAGGCCGTGGCCGAGGCCTCCTGGGATGTGGCTAATGCCACAAAGATGTACTTGGTGTGATAGATATCACCGAGTCACCTCCATTCACTGAGTCTATGTACAATGAGGCTCAGAAAGTGAAACGTTTCCCTAACGAGGTGGCCCACGGTTCCGCGGCTTTTTTGATGGCGTAGATTCTACCACCACGGAGGATGTCACCGGGTTGGGTGACTTAGAAGTGCCGAAGAAGAGTCCATGTTCGGGAACAAGCAGTCCTTCCTCAAGCCCAAAACTAATCAACCGATTCCTAGCTCCGAGTGTGGATCCTGATCGGAAGCAATCGATCATCATTTCTATTCCGAAGAATTCCCGGGTCCTTTCTGCCCCCATAGGGGTGGTCAGCTACCTTCGGTGTCTGGTGACCGAGGAAGATCAAGCCAAGATGAACGAGGTGGACGTGCCCTGCCTGTTCAATAAAGCACAACAGGCGCTAAACCAGGTAAATTTAGATATCTCTTAATGACCTTTGATTTGTATTTAGATTTATAGATAATCCTAATATTTTTCTTTGTGTCATAGGCCTCGGTGCTTCATCATGAGACTTTTCTCCGATATCGGGATGAGCTGAACTAGCTTGAGGGCGAGGTTCGAGGGCTCACTGAGAAGAAGGATGCTTACAAACTTCTCAACGAGCAACGTGAAGGAGAGGCTAAGAGCCTCCGAGCTGAGCTAGAGGCGGTTCGGAAGGAGCACGCTGATCTGGTGGAAAAGGTAAAAGTTTTTAAGGTTAGTGACAATGAGCTAGACTCGCTGACTAACGCTCTGAACCCGCAGGTACAACATAATCTTGATCAGATCGACTAACTTCGAGCAGAAATGGATGTGGTAAAGGCCGAGGCCGAAGAATAGAAAAGCAAAATGGACTGCTTGACCTCGAAAAAGCAAAGTGCCCGGGCGTAATTGGCTGTGGCTGAGGTTCAACTTCGGGCCGCAAAGGAAAAGGCCGTGGTTCAGGCCAAAAAGATTGAGGAGCTCCAGTCTCAGCTAAGTTTGGCCGCCTTTGATTGAGAAAATCTGGCCAAAGAGCTTGAAACGGCCAAGTCGGTGGCCGTGGTGGTTAAAATCGATGTCGGCGAGATGGTGGCCCAATATAAGGACGAGGCGGCTCAGGTTCGAGCGAAGGATATTGTCAAGCATGCGAAGCGGCAATCCCGAAGGCAGGCCATCGAGGAAATTCATGCTTGGGATTTTGACTTATCGGCTGAAATTGAGAGTGCCAAGGAGCTCGAAGCCGAGGCCAAGAAGTTGGCTTATCCCGAGGATGATGAAGACTCCGAGGGTTTAAGCGGATCCGTGGGTGGAGGAGACCACAAAGGTGATGAGGCGGCCCCCGGCAAAGACTATGCTACTTAGGCGCTTTACCGATGTTTTTTTTAGCCTTTTGTATTACCATTTTGTTGAGGTCGTTTGGCCTTTGTAAAAATTTGTATAGGGGTTGTTTGGCCTTTGTAAAAAATCTTTTGATATGTATATAAGGCTTTTTCTCTTCAACAACTTCTGAATTTTTCCTTTGCTTTATTATTTATATTTGCAAAGATTGAAATGCCTTAGCATGAAATAGTTAGGTTACGTTTGGAGGTTCGAACAAGCCTTGCCTTCAACATTATTTTGTTTTAAGGCATCGCGGGGGTTCGGTGTGACCGGAATTTTTCCCCAAAGTAATTATATTTTTCTAGATTATAGTTTGTCGAGGGTAACCTTTAGAACCAGTTAAGAAATTTTAAGGCCTTGCTATTTTTGTTACGGGTCTCGGACGTCTCTGAGCCATTTTAATATGGTCGTAGCCTTTTTAGTTCGGGTGTTGCCTAGTGGGCTCATTATCCCGAGTTTTCTGGGCTTGCCTAAGATAACAGTCCCCGAGTGGGGATGGTCGTAGCCTTTAATGTTCGGGCATTGCCTAATAGGTCTTGTGCCCCCGGGCTTTGATAGCTCGTACCATCCGAGTTCATCTTTGGACGGCAGTCCCCGGGTGGGAGTGGTTGTTTGAACCCGGATTAAGGCGGCCCTTGAGCTCAATACCTTTAGGGAATCAGATGTAGGAAATTCCTTAAGAATTTAAAAAAGAAAAAAAAATTAAGGGACAAGGTATTTATCCGCAAGGTAGGGACTTCTTTTTATTCTTGTGCGTAATAGTTACACATGTGTACAAGCTTTGTGCCAGGGCTCGAGCAGTCTATGTGGGCATGGTTCATTTGGCCGTTT